GTCGAAACGGTTTGGCATCACGTAAACATCAGTCGCGCAGCTGCCAGATTAAGGTGAACAAGTTACGTTCAATAGCTCGTCAAACCCCAACAAACAAAAATATATAATGAAAATAAAAACAATCCTCTTCACGAATACAAAATCCATTGCTTGGACCCTTGCCGCCTATTTGAGACTACCTTGAAACAAATCCATTAAGTGGCACGGAAAAACGCTCATGGCTAAGTGTGTGTCCCCCCGACCCCCACCCCCCCCCACACACACACGATGAGCTGAGCGAAGGGAAGGCCATCGACTCGACCGATCAGGCCTCTGAGAGTAACGTAAGCATCTCCCCTCTTGCCGACAGAGAGAAGATGGGGCTTGTGGTCCTCACACACCGGAGTCCATGCCGCGCATCTGCCCCGAGTAGCCAAAACCGAAACCTGCAAGGGCTCCAACTGCCTTCGGGCTGTACCACGTGCCGTTCAACAAACCATGTCTGACGTTTCGCGCCACGTTCTGGGAGCTTCAAAAAATTCGGTTCCTTGAGAAGCTTCAATTGAGTTTCTGAAGGAAGCTCAGAGGTTCGGTTCAGTTCCTTCAGAAGCTCCCAGCACGTGGAAGGGAAACGTTGGAAATCAACACGCGGAACGACCCGAAAGCACAAACCGCAGAGCTGTACGGCACGACCGCGAGAGACCGCGCGGCAGGAGCATAGAAAACTAGTCCGACCTGAACAAATTAAATATCTTACGTTCACGATCTCCACATAAAAATGTAATACGTACGAGTCGGTTAGCCTCGCGGACTTCAAGCAGCAATTGTGTTTTTAGACACGCACACTCCGGACTGGTTTCGCTCTTTCGGAGGTCATCAGCGGAGCCAGGCTTGCGAAACAACAACCACTGCCGCTTTAGCAGATGTCATTGGCCCTGTCTTGGCAAAAAGTTATGAGTTGAAAAATAAAAATGAAATGCTTATCAGCCTGGAAGATCATAACCCAAGTCAACATCGACAGGTACAAAAACATAACGGGGGTTTGCCTTAAAACAGCGAACTCAACGCACAGAAAGCGGCAGATACATTTTAGGTTGTGTTTTTTTAAACGCTACAAAACGTATCGAATAAACACGATGCGCATACTGGTTTAAAACGCAGAGAAACCCAACCCAAGGTTCCGCAACCCACCCCCCCCCCATGCCCCCCCCCCCCACCAACTCGCCTTCTCCTGGTGTGATTTTTGGTTTTTTAAAACGTAAAGAATACTTTTGGATAAGTGGGGCAGGAAAAGGGGGTTACCGTTTGCCTAAAGTGGGAGCCCACAGGGTTGACCGATCGCTGCCGCCAGTAACTTGACACAAGCAACACCACTTGATTTTTTCTGCATCCCCAATTAGACCCCTTCTCGAGCTCTACAGTAGCCAAAATTCCACTGGCAGAGAGAGAAGGGACCCTTATTTCGTGCAGCCACCCGCTCCCCACCCCCGTCACAGGAACTACAGCCGTTACACAATTTGTTGTTGTGTTTATATATATACACACACACGCTTGTATGGCCCCTTTTGTCGATCCACTGCTGGATTGGGCAGCCACTGGAGCGATGCACTTTAAAATTCTAAATTGAAAATGTCATTCTTTAGAACGGCTCTTTAGTGTGTTAGTTTGTTGTCCTTCGCCCGCGCCTCTCCATCAGCACGGGTGGCTACGTACGGATGCTAAAGAAGTTCAACGTACAGGAAGGGTTGGGTGTTGGACAACACTTCACCACCACGCTGATCAGTGAGGGCTGGTTGGTTGGTGAAGGAGTAAATCACTCACCACTGATGTTGGCCGTGGCTGGGATTCAAACTCAGGTCACAGGGCTTATAGAATGAACTGCGCTAACCATTGCGCCACCGCTCCACCCCAACTGTTATTTAAGGAGTGATATATGTATGTAAAGCCGAGCGTATGAGAAAATCACTCGAAATAAGCCCATTAATTCGACAACTCTCAGAAGCTAAGCGGAGTTGAGCCTGGATAGTGCGTGCATGGGTGATCGATGACGCAATTCGTCTTGTTGTAACTTTCTCACCACCCCCCCATCCCCTTCCCTGCTATTGGACATCTGTGAAAAAGAGCTTCATAGGTCATCGGATTCCTGCTGCAGTCTAAACAAAGATTCAGATTTTGATTCTGCATGTCAGGTTGATGTGACAATCAGCAAGAGGGGCAGACAGCGTAGCACTCAGCGTAGCACTATACGGTTCCACGTCTGTTTCCCCGCCTTCACCGGCATGGTGAAGTATGGTCATGTAACCCCCCCCCCCGCCCAAAGACCAGCGCGGCATTGGGAGGCCCTCTTCCAGCAGTGGGTCGGTAACAGCTGTGCTCACGTGACCTCCACTCGCTTGTGCATCGCAAGCTAAAGGCAATGCACCGTCTAGGATCTGTAAAGTCTCAAGTCCTGTGCCGCCGTTTGGTTTCTAAACAGATCCACGCCGTTGACCGCACGGTTGCATTACGGGGCACCAAATGCACGCGAAACTAGCACCAGTTATTGATCAATAAATTGAGTGAAATCCCTATGTATGTGCTTCACTAATACAAATAACTACGTGTGAATTAGCCAAATAACGAATTAACTAGTTGACAAAATTATCAACTAACAAAACAAACACATTAGGTAACTAACGAATGCGCGTGCAACTGCCACGAGTAATTTTATAATGATAGTATTTTTTTATGTCTCTGTGCTTTTCAACAAAAGTCGCTCGTACATTATTGAATAAACTGGCAATCCGATCTAAATAACCAATAAGCTAATGAGCTAAACAATCTAATCAACTAACTATACAAAATCGTTAACCAATAAAGTAAAATATTAACACACAGACCGACACGTGCACACACATGCGCGCGCACGGCAATTCAATATTCACTTACGATGATAATAGCCACGGTGTGGTTCGAGAGGCCCTGTAGCGCAAACGCACTGGGATCACTCAAGACAGATTGAATTACTCGCCATTTCAATATCCACGAGCCGCCAGCGGCCACCGCGTTCACTTTCATTTGGCTCTGTCCACCGGCGGCGATAAGGAGGACCCCCTGCTCCAAGCCTACGTGGGGCCCCACTCATCTCATCCGCGGGACCCTCACAGCAGGGGACGGCCGGGGAGTTCCCAAAGGTCCCTGCCCCCCCCCCCCCCACCCTGACCAAGCCAAGGTCCCTTGCAAAACTACAATGTCAAGAGTGCATCACTCACTTGTATGTACGTACCGTATGTTGAACTTCTTCACCCGCTGTAGGTAGCAAAAAACCGTGCTAATCGGAAGTGCGGGGGGAAAGGACAACAAACTAAACACAAAAAGCAGTTCTAAATAAATTACATTTTTTTTTCAAAATAGATTTAAAAGGGCACAGCTCCCAGTGGCTTCCTAATATCAGAAGGAAGAGCATTCCAGACGGCCGCAGAAGCGCACCCGCGATGCGGTGACCGCCTTTGTTCGATTGACCAGCCAGAATCCGCCTGCTGCGAGGATGATCGGAGTTCGCGTGATGGTTTAAAAGTTCCTTGACGAGATCGGCAAGGTGAGCTGATCCCTCACCTGGCTGGCTCTGTGGCATTAGGGTTGCCCCACCTGACCTGCTCTTAACCAGGCTCACCCCCCCCCCCCCCTTGATGAGCGATGGTAGCCGTTCCCCTGGGAAATGTTGCAAGTCTTCCCGGGAACGTTACAAATCCCGGTTCATGTCAGTCACATTACAATAGCAACGATGGTCCTGTACATCCGGTGATTAATTTCAGCTGGGAGCCCGGAACGTTACTTTGGGAATCATTTTGGAATGTCACATCGATATTGCTCTGCTTCGTCCTCGTACATTATCTAAACCTCAAGAAAATTATAGGAATATAGGTTACAAAAGATGTACATATATATCATTATTACGTACCCTAGCGGTACTGTCCCCTAGTCCATGCAAGCCGAGCAGGAGCGTTTCGAAAAATATCGAGTGAGGACTTCAGGCCCCGAATGCATCTGCATTTAGCTGTTCCCATCGGCCACTTCCTCCTCCTCAACCCCCTCTTCGGCTGTTGTGAGATGTTCATCTTCAACACGAAATGTCCCGGTTTTTGCGGGACCTCAGGTGGCGACCCCAACCCGCAGAGTTGGCACACACATCTGTCTTTTAAAATCTAGTTTGAAAAAAAGTAATTTCTTGACAACTGCGCTTCTTGTGTTCGGTTTGTTGTCCTTCCCCCGCACCTCTGATCAAGACGGTTGGCTACGTACGGCGCGAAGGAAATTCAACATACATTCAAAGGCAAAGACCCCCCCTGTATACCCTTAACATACTGTTGGGGCAAGTAATGTTAGCGAGCGCCTATGAAGGCCAGCAAGGCACACAAGGGGGTGGGGGTGGCCAGCACCACGCCCGGACGCCTTTGTCTCTCCAGTGGCAAAGTTTACGCACTGCACCAGGTACTCATTTGAGGCTGAGTCGACCTAGGGGAGGCCCAGGACCGGTTCAGATAATCGTCACCGGTGTTGACCCGCATTGCTGGGTTCGTAGTGCGGTGTGCGAACTGCTACACTACCTCTCCCCACAACATGCATACATATACAAAGAGTTGACCAGTCCGAAGTCGGGTGAGTGTTTCTACACGTACATACGTCTGACCCAGAGGTCGGCAAAACTAAAACAACAACAAAACGAACTCAATATCGAAAGTGCCGCCGCAATACACGTGAACAGAAATCACACGAGGCAGTCTTTGAAGAGCCACGTGCAGCTTCGGAGTCGCAGGTCTGCAGTCAGACCCCCTCTCTGGTCTAGCTCCTGAAAGAGCTTGCCCACCTGCCTAGCCCCCCCCCCCGAGGGAACTCGTTTACCTGAGCCGCTCGCTCGACCCGCTCATCTGGTCAGCACGTCACGCGCACACAGAGCACGACGCAGGCGGGGGGGGGCGGGGGGGGGGGGGGGTTATCGGTCGTCAAAACCACCGCAGCCACCATCACCGCACCCCTTGCACCTGTTCGGCGAGACTGCTGGAGGAGGGCCGCGAGACGTCGTCGTCGCCCTTGGTGCTTCCGTCCCGGTCGTCGATGACCAGGTCTATGGGCATCTTGCCCTTGAGGCAGCTGATGTACCGGTGGCAGAAGTTGTCGCAGAGTTCGTGAACCTGAATGGGACGCGGTCGCAGATTCGTCACACGTCGTCGGCGGCACGTTTTTGTTTGTTTTTGTTTTTGTTTTCCTTTTATCGAGCGCCAACAAAGGCTGCTCCACAACTCCGAAAGTGCCGCTCGCGACTGGGCCGCTCGGCATCTCTGGGGGGGGGGGGGGGGACCTGCGGCTCTGCGAGGACAAAAAAAAGAAATGATTCTCCGTGAAGCTCCGGATGTCGCACAGGGAGGCGGATGTTCACACTGGCTTTGTGAGAAAACTCTCAGAGCCAATGTGAGAGATGTGCAAGTGCAACGACGTGCAAGGCATTTCTCAATCCACTGCTGGATGAGGGTCTCCCACGCAGCCTGCGTGTCGGGGAGGTTGCGGGTTGCAGGCGGGGGGTGCGCAAAGAAAGACGTGGGAGCATAGCAGTATAGTACAACAATGGGTTTTTGCTATACTGCCCTCCGCTGTTCGTCAATCACGTAATCCCGCAGCCTATAACACCTGTTTCAATCCTGGCGGTCACTCATCCGAGTACAGTCAAGTTCAAAGCTGCTTAGCTTTCGAATTATGATGTATAGGCGTGTATACAAAACCACTGAGGGTTAATTACGTTTGTCGAATAGGCGTGTATACAAAAACGTACACACACACAAGACTCAGATTGAGGTATATACAATGAACAGGTTTCAAAAGTATCAAACACTCGTGTTGTTAGCGAGCATATACTGAGGCCGGAACAGCGCATGAGGTTGGCGTGGGGCCACCGCCAACGCCTGGCCCGCCTTTGTCTCCCCGAGTGCTGACGTCTACGCACCGCACCGATGACGGTGCTACATTTTAAGACTCCGTCGCGACCTGCCACCACTCACCACCAATGTTAACCGTGGCTGCGAATCCAACTCGAGATTGCCCCTGGCATCGACGGATGTCTACGTGTATGACTTAACTACGTACGGTGCACGTGAAACATGAGGATACGTTTCACATCGCTTACTACATTATACAAAGATCCCCCGTATAGCCTTGAGAGACTGTTGGGGCAAGTGCAGTTAACGGGTGGGTGGCCAGCAGCCGCCTTTGTCTCGCCAGTGGCGATGTGAACACACCGCACCAGCTGCTTATTTGAGGCTGAGTCGACCTAGGCAGGGGGGGCCAGAACCGGTTCAGATAAACGTCGCTGGTGTTGGCCGTGAACGAGAATTGAACTCGGGTTGCCGGGTTGGTAGGGCAGCGCGCAAACCGCTACACTCCCGCTCCCCACATATACCGTGTGTGTGCGAGGGCTCTACACATCGCTGGGAGGGTTTTATGGTCGATGGTCAAGAATAAAGACGGAGTGGCAGTTAAAGGAGGGAACGCGCTCCGATAGGGCATCTACCGAGGAAATGGAGCGATGGAATCAGCTCGTGAGCAGGCGCGAGGTGGGATTGATCCATCGCGGATTGTGGAGGGATTGCTCCGCCTTTGTGGGAGGCTCTTTCGACCAGCAGTGGATTGACCCTGGCTAACGAATATGACGTACATATGTATAAAGTAAATGCATGGTATCAGTTGAAAATTTAACTTGTAGTCTCAATTGGCTCTCAACTGGCCCTAATCATCAGTCTCTCATATATAAGACGCAGAGGCCGCACTACATACGTCGGGCTACACGTATTTAAAAGCTATAAACACATACACGTCGGGTGCACACATAGCCTGACGTACACACACACATACGCACGTGTACTACGCGTGTAGCCACGTGCGCGCGCTGGTGCGCATACAACTCGAAGCAATGATTCTCAAAACGCCACACCGCCATCAAATCCCCTGGATCTCATCTCTCCGTATCGCCTCCTCCTTTGGCCGATCGACCGCATTCATGAGACCGCCGCAGGAGTATGGAGTTGGGGGGGGGGTCCCTTTTTGCCATCCCCTCTCTCACACCAACCCCTAATATGACGACTACATTAAATATTCCGCGAGCAATATTTTTCGTATTAAAAATTGGGGCAAATTCAGTTGTCGCGGGCAGGGGGCCCGGGGCAGCTGCGACATTAGGCGCAAGCAAACTTTGTCGAGGGTGCGAGCGAGCGAGCGAGCGAGTGAGTGTGTGGTTGGTTTTTAAGTGTGCGGCACCAACAACAAAAAGAACCTGGGCCGCCACCACCACTACCACCACGCCACCCGCGTTTGTCGCACCGGGGACAATTAGCGACGCTGTCGTCGAGCCACGGGCTCCGCGCGCGCGCTTTAATTGCTGCTCGAGTCGACTTGCGGCGGGTAGGAGAGAGAGAGAGAGGGGGGAAAAAAAACTGGTTTCGAAGTTAATTATTAATTAATTAAGTTAATTATTCAGGAGGACGACGGCGATGCCCCGCGCGCACTCTCTCGCGCTCAACCCTCCAACCGCCCCCCCCCCCACTCACTCCCGTGCGGTCGCGGTTCCGCGCATTTGAAATAAAATGAAATAAATCGTTTACTTTATATATATCGGTTGTCATAAAACAACGCGCGCCACGCTCATTAGTTTAAATGGTCGTAGCAGTAATAATCGTCATCATTATGATGTTGACATCAGCGCGGTGCGCCAATCACTGGCGCCACCGCTCCACGTGTCTGTGTGCGCGTATTCGCATCTGCACTGGGTGGCACCGCACGTATCGATTGTGACCGGTCGTTGTTCTCTTTACGCTCGTCTGGATGTTTTCCCAACGTCGATTCAATCGTCATAATGCTAACAATGAATAGCAATCACGACGGTGATTTGCATGTGTGTCAATCCACTGCTGGATGGAGTAAGGGACTGCGTGTGGGGGGGGGGGGCTCCCTCTAGGTTGGCTCAGCCTCAATTGAGTACTTAGTTGCGATATGTAAAAACAAAAAAAAAACATTTCCACTAGGGAGACAAAGGCGGCCGGGCGTGGTGGTGGTGCTGGCCACCCCACCACCTCGTGTGCCGTTCCGGCCTTCATAGGGGCTACTCGCTAACAGCACTTGTCCCAACAGTCTGTTAAGGCTATACGGGGGGAGTGGGGGGGTGAACGAGGGTCTATGGTGGGGCAGAATAGGTACCACTCGCCACTGATGTTAGCCGTGAACGATAATCCCAACTCAGGCTGCCGGAGTTCGTAGCGCAGCGCGCAAAGCAATGCGTCAATTAAAAAAAACAGCAGCGAGAGAGCTACCGAGATTATTTCATCGACACTGAATAAAATATATGGACGACGATAAATATATATGGTGTACGTCAAGTGTGTGTAGTGACGGCGACGTGAAAACTTGATAAGCACACGGGGAATGACGTACCTTCTCCAATTCTAAGAGATGAAACCGCAATACTTGTATCGCCTGGATCATCTGCAAAAAAAAACCAAACGAACATTAACAAAAAAATTATCGATTAAGCGTGACTCATTGATCAATGGGCCAACTCTGGCGGAACGCGTGGCAAATGTCTTCGTTGTCTTCTGCCTATCCGCGTCATCCAAGACCAGCACGCTCCCTCTTCGGCCGGGCACGAAGGCGGCGTGCAAACGACAAAGACGACTCCCATGTAGCCTTTAAACAACAGGCTGTAGTAGTAAGGGGGGGGGGGGTGAGGGGGTGACAAGTTGCTGCTGTTCGCGAGCAACCTTTACGAAGGCCGGAACGGCGCGACATATGACAGGGGAGGTGTGGCAAGCAACCACGCCCGGCCGCCTTTGTCTCCCCCAGTGGTGATGTTTGTTACCGTAGGCGGGGAATTCGAACGCGGATCGCCGTGTTCGTAGCGGCCAGTGCGCTAATCACTGCGCCACGCGGCGTACACACAAGACAAAGACAAAACTCCCCCGTGTAGCCTTCACAGAGTGTTGAAGCAAGTGCTGTTCACGAGCAGCAACTACGTGGGCCAGCAGGGCCCCGCATCCTCTACACATATACACACATTATTACGTATAATCGCACTATTGACAATTGATATTACTACACATTGCCACGCAAATATAGCATAACGCACTGCAGTACGTAAGAGTGTTCCAATAGAACACGCGTGAATGTATTTGTACAATATATAGCACAAAGCAGGTGCTAACTTGAAAATGATTAAAACATATATTTAGGAGCATTTGGCGTTTTGGACAACTGCCATTCTTGAGCGTTCATAGGTGCAACATTATTTACAATTGTACGTATCAACTGTGTATCTGTTTGTGCGTGTGTAACTGTGTGTATCAACTGAGTAACTAGTGCAGCGTGTAAACATCGCCACTAGGGAGACAAAGGCGGCCGGGCGTGGTGCCGGCCACCCATCCCCTCGTGTGCCTTACCGGCCTTCAACAGACTGCCCAAACAGTCTGTTAAAGGCTATGCGAGGGAATGTATCTTTTGTTTCTATAAAACAAAGTATGTGTATGTATATATATACACACACATACATAGGTGCTCGCTAACAGCACTTGCCCCAACAGTCTGTTTCAGGCTATACGGGGGATATTTGTCTCATATATATATACACACACAGGGATTCATTTCAGCCAAATGCTGGCCCGGTGGAGAGACCCGGGAAAACCTTTCGGTACGCGGCACACCACACCCAGTATACCACGCGCTACGGCTGTGTGTTTATTGTGGTCACGTTGCCACTTATACTTCAGGCTGTGAGCGACCCCTAAACTATTCAATTATCGATTATGCCCCGAGTACACACACACATACACAAAAGATCCCCAGTATAGCCTTCAACAAACTGTCCATCCCAAGTGCTGTTTGCGAGCACCTATTAAGGCCGGAACGCTACGCGAGTAGGCGGGTGACCACCACCACAACCGGGCTGTCTTTGTATCTCCAGTCATGAGGTTTACATACCGCACCAGATACCAATTTAGGGCTGAGTCGACCTAGATGAGGTACAGGACCTATTCATATGTTCGCCACGGGCGGAAATCGAACTAGGGTGCCCTGGTTCGGAGCTCAGTGCGATAACCACTGCGCTACCGCTCCCCACTACACTAGCGTACACACAAACATATATACACACACATATATACACACACGGGGCATTTAAAATAAACATAGGTATCTATACCGTCGAGGAACGCTTTACAAGCTACAGTGTCAATTTCGATCGACTCTCTAAATTTTAAATCAACGAGCGAAGCAAAATAATTACGCGGCTATGTTATAGCAAGTCAAGCGGACTTTCATCATCACCATCAAGCAGCATCACCAATACATAACAACTCAACAAACTCGCGGAACAGTATCGTTTTACAGACTTTGGGGGGGGGAGAGAAAGAGAGAAGATAGGGAAAGAGAGAGAGAGCGGAGGGATGCTTAAAAAAAAACATCTCGCAATTTGGAAGAGAAAAAAGGAGGGCGCGAAGTTTCCGCACACATCTGTTTCAATTAGCGGCCAGCGCGCGCTGCACGGAGGCCAATTAAAATGTAAGAGGCACCCCCCCCCCCCCCCACACTTTGATCTTCCGGCAAAAAATCCGGCACGCGGGCATTAGCGATCATCAAGCCACCAACAATCGCCCTGTGTGTGTGTGGTTTTTTTCTTTTCCCGATCCTTCTGTTCGGCGGATTAAGCGAAAGCGCGTTAGAACACAAAAGCGACGCTTTCACAACACGAAGGGTTAGCGATCGGTGTGCTGCCACGGCGGTTCAGGCATCCCCCCGCGCGCGCGCGCTGTGTCTCTGAATAATAACAATGATGATGATGATGCTATTGTTGTTTGCTGCTGGTGGTACCGCTCACGTGCGCTATTGGCTTCACACACCACACACCGCACGCACCGAAGGCAAAGATTCCGCCCCTCCCCACCTGTCCACCTCTGTCCCCGAGTAGCCGCGTTAAAAAAATATTCATAAGATAGCTGTTGGGGGGGATAAGTGTTGCGAGTGAGCCGCCGGTGAAGAAATGGTCGGTCGGAAGGGCTCACGGCACGAGTGGTGTGGCCAGAAACCGCGCCCGGCTAACCTGCCGCCTTTGTCTGTTTAACAAACCGCACCGGGTTACCACTAATTTGCGGATAAGTCACGTATTCACAATACAAAGATCCCCCGTATAGCCTTATACTGTTTGGGGCAAGTGCCGTGAGCGAGCACACACGAGGGGTGGTGGGTGGCAAGCACCACGCTCGGCCGCCTTTGTCTCCCGAGTGTAGTAGCGACGGTTATACGTCGCACCAGGTACTCCGTTTGAGGCTGAGTCGACCGAGGGGAGGCCCAGGACCGGTTCGGAGAATCGCCACTGGTACACGGTCGTGAGCAGGCATTGAACTCGGGTCGCCGGGTTTGTAGCGTAGCCGCGATAACCACTACACTACTGCTCTCGATCATATATACTGACTCACACGCACGATTGCATGGATACAGGCCTGTGTGTGTGTGTGGATCTGCAGGAAATGTCATCCGTTGTATAAGCGTCTCGGAACATGACAGCAGTGCAACTCGATCTGTGGTGATGAATTTGAAGTAATTGATGATGATGATGATATTAATCACAAAGAACTACTTACCAAATTATCCAGCTCCGGGTTGGATGAGAACAATGGCTTCTCTGCTCTCACCTGCAGCGAATGAAAAAAAAATAGCCAGGTGTGAGAGCAAAAGTACATGATTAAGCAAGTGACACACCTAATTGGAACGTCTTAATATTGATACCAAAAACAGGATATGTGTTTATATACTTTTTTTATATATAAATACTAATACTATGATGCTTATAATACATACAACTGTAGATAATAACGCGTGCGTGCGTGTATATATATACAGACAGGCGACGTGTACCAGCGCAGATTGGACGTTTGTAAATTGAGCCTCCGTGTTGTTTCGTAAGGCACCATACGTTGCTATGTTTGTCGCACGATGTGGTACAATCGCTCGGTTACTATAAATCATGTAGCATTTAGCCGCGCAAAAGCTGTTACGCATACCGTGGATCATATTTTTATGATAAATTACGATACACATTCAACCACGTGTGTATGTATACACACGTATTTATGTGTGGGGAGCAGTAAGAGTAGCCGGATAGCGCGGTTACACTACGAACCCAGCAATCCAAGTTGCGTTCCCACTCATGGTCGACACCAAGTGACGATTATCTGAACAGGGCCCTGGGCATCCCCCTAGATCGAGTCAGCCTCAAATGTGTACCTGGTGCGGTGTGTGAACATCGTCACTGGGGAGACAAAGGCGGCCGTGCGTGGTGCTGACCACCCCCCCCCCCGCCATCCTGTGCCGTGGCAGCCTTCATAGGCGCTGCGACTCGCTAACAGCACTTGCCCCAACAGTCTGTCAAGGCTATACGGGGGATCTTTGTCTTATGTGCGCATAGCTTTGGACAGCCGCTATATTGAGCACGTAACACGACGGTTCATTTGTCGCGTGACGTCACGCGCTGGGATCATCTTGCAACGATTTACATTTTAATTGATGGACGATCGACTTATTAATTGCACGATTTGTCAGCTAAAAACGCACGTCAATTAATTAATATCATTCTGATTATTATTATAACTCTGCAACTCCGGATAATATTTGTAACGCGCGTCATGTCGTCCACACAAACACAATGTGTAAGTTATAATTCCTGAATTACTTATATATGTAAAAATAATTCGTGTATTTCATAATGTCATTGATTATCTGGTTACCCAAATTTGTCTTGGAGTAATATTTGGATCACGTCTCTGTCTCTACGGTATTGCAATGATTAACTTATACTACAATACGTGCACTATGTGTATGTATATATATAAACACACGCAATGCTTATTTGTAGTAGGTGAGCAGAAGCGTACGCAAATTATTCGGTGGGAATTAATTTAATAGCAGGCAATTAACGCATTGATTGCGAGAGCAATAACACAGCAGATGCAGCCTTGTTAACATCACAAGAATACATATTCACGCTGCTCGCTTTAATTCACCGTTGTTGTTTTTTTTCAAATTGAAGTTAGACAGTGTGACCCACTCCCACAACACGTGACGCCTACAATATATAATAGGCATAATATTAAATAAATATACCAATAGCCACACTTGTTACATTACAGTCATAGATTGTACTGCGCGGTCACGATATTGCCGCAAATAGTAATTTAGTAACGAGGCAAAACAGCGATTTAGCGCAAGTAACAATAGGTTTTAGTACAATTACAGGAGCGTTCCAACAATGTTAACAACGCAGGTAAAGGTGTGCTTTAATAACAACACTTACTTGCAAATGTTTGTTCAAATAATTATAATCAATACGACTTCGTGACCGCATGTCGCGTAAGTGTGTTGGTGATGGCGCCGCGCAATTTATTCTCTCCCCCCGCCCCCCGTCACCTTCCCTTGACCATACTTCACCATTCCCGTACCTGCTTGGCGAACACAGCGATGTCCTCGTTGAAGGAGTCGGAAGAGCAAACGTCGCCCCCCGCGACTCCTGGCTCCCTCGGGGTGCATGTCGCCAACTCGCACTTTTCAAACACGAGGGCCAGCAGCGGGAACAGCGGATGTCTGCATCACAGTGGTAGGGGGGGTGTGTAATTTTTTTTTGTAGGGGGAGGGAGGGGAGCTTCATCCAGCAGTGGATTGATAATGGCTGGTGATGACGATGGTGGGGGCTTCATCCAACAGTGCATTGAGGAGGCCTTCATCCAGCAGTGGATTGATAATGGCATGATGATTATGGGAGGACGTGGCTGTTTTGTTTTTGGTGTGTGAGTGTGTATTTTCTGGGACGTAAAATAAGTTGAATTATTGTGTGTAAATTGTATTACTTTCAAACCCAGTTACATGTAACTTTGTATGAGTGAGTGTCATTATACACGTATTGCTTACACACGTATACACAACATACACCACCCACACACATATATATACACACACACATACTGCACACGTGTATACACCAGACACATGATATACACGAGATGCACACATGTCGCCAGACACAATCCACACACACGTATATTGTACACTAATCACGTACACCACACACGCATGCACACCACATATACACACACTACAAATATATACTATACACTAGACACATCCATCCACCCTATACTACACACCACACGTATACACCAGTCACAAACACCGCACACGCATACATGTCGCACATATATACACACACTCCAAATACATATATACGACACTCATCGCATGCATTACGCGCTATGAACATATTCCACACGCACACGCCAGACGCACACACGCTCTCACACACACACACGCGCGACACTCGTGCACATTATACACGTACATACAATAAACACGCAAACTAAATATCACGCTCATCATAACGCGCGTCTTAGTACTTCGTATCGTGTCCGTGACGTGCCGTCACGTTAGGCCTGTTTATAAAAAAAACACACACACAAATCGCATCGCGCTCGTAGGCAGAGGCACTCCACGTGCACACGCCATGCACGCGCGCGCGCGCACACAGGGGGCACACACCGGACTCACTCTTTGGTTCTTTCGGTAAAGTCACGTAGAAAGAAAATAAATTAAATAATTGAATACGACGTTTCGATTGCAACACGAGCAATCGTCATCAGGTAGAACTATATTTGAGAGAGAGACAAAACACAGACACGGAGACACACAGTCAGACACACAAGCAGAGAGAGACAACACTGAGACACACACATAGAGAGAGACACAACATAGGGACACACACTATACGCCTCAGCAAAGCGCCGGCTATGCTCATAATTAAACGATTGTCAAAATAAATAAAATAAAAGTGCCCGTAATTTGCGCCCCAACAACCCAACGTGTATTGCGCATTATTAACATTATCAAGACGCTTGGATAGATGGACTTCTCTTTTTTATTTTCTCTCCCTTTCAAAGTAACTTTGCCAATGGGTGTACAAGCCACAAACTCGACGAGCCTTCACAATCAAAGTAATTGCGAAAGTAACGCGTTTAGCCATTACCGATCCTCCCTCGGCCCTTCCCTCCGCGCATGTCGAAGTCTCCGCTTCGCTCGCGATGCGACTTCGCGTTACTTTCAGCGCGTCGCCCGCCGACACCGCGAACGTTACCGCCGCTGCAATTTGAGCACGTCGCACTAACGCCGTCGAGATGATGACCGTGATTATTGATAAGGTGTCATCCGCATGATTTAGCACATTCACACCGCACGTGTTCCAGGTAAGTTGCCGAGTCACCTACCCACCCCCCCCCCCCGTAGCTTCTCGTGTCAATGTTGCTGCTGCTGCTGTTGAAGTTGTTTTTGCTCCTAAGCTTGTCGGAGCCCGTACCCGTAAATGGAGTCCTTGTCCCTCTTGAGCGCATCGTTGACGGGCGAGCCCATTCCGGCTGACATGACGCCCGCGTGCGCGGGGTGCGGGTACTGGTGGCCGTGCAGAGGCGGCCCGTGGTTCAGGTGATGCACGGGCTGCATGGGCCTCGGCGCGTGCGGGTCCCCGTACATGGAGGCCGGCACCCCGACCCCGTCCATGCCGCCGTAATGGCCCAGCTCATCGTACTGCATCAGACAGTAGGCACAGCGCGCGCGGGGAGAAAGGGAAGAGAGATGGAGAAGAGACACGGAGAGAGAGAGAGACAGCCTGTTGTTGCTGTGTTGTGTGTGTGTTTGTTTTTCCGGCAACTCGCTGTTCGGGCGGTGATAACCGCGGCGGAAGCGGCGACGGGCAGGAGGGCTGCCGAGCGGCCGGCTATCGTCACGATCTGCCGCCGCCAACTGGACGTGTCAGACACGTAAACAGGGTCTATCTTTCATCCGCCAGAGCCGAGAGGGCACCGAGCCGCCATCACGTCACAAGTGCAGCGGCGGCAGCAGCGGCGAGAGGCTGTGGGAGGCTGCGAGCCCCGACAGCTGGGCGAGAGCTTGCGGAGCCGAGCGCCCGGGATGCGAGCACGCGTGGTGAGAGAGAGAGACGGTGGTGGTGGTGGTGGGGGGGAGAGAGAGAGAAAGAGCGAGAGAGGTGAGCACTCCGGATTAACCTACCCTCTGCGCCATGGGTCCGCGCTCTCGGGCTCTCCTCTCCCAGCCGCCTCCGCCGCCGTCAAAAGCCCGGGCCGCTCCCAGCGCCTCCGCTGACGCCGCTCGCCCTCCCGCCCGTCCGCCTGTCTCTCCCCCCCCCCCCCCCGCCGTACGTCGTCTCCGCGGCTCCCGCAGCCGATCCCGACTCGCAGCACCCCCCCCCCTCTCCCCGAGAGAGACGCGGGACTCTCCCCGGTCGCGGCGGACGATCCGAGGCGGGACCGAGCGCGCGCTCGGGCTGCGTGAAGCCGTCAACAGGCGCCTCTCCGGAGCCGAGCGGGGCTCATGGCTTTTTGCCACTCCAGCTGTCAATCAGCACCGCGTTGTCAAGGCACTGAATGAGTGATGATCCGGCGCGCTATTCGACTGGTCGCCGCGCGATGCTTGGCCTCGGCAGCGCGTGGGGTTTCCGCGGGGCTCGGAGATGTCACCTAGAGCGACGATTCCCCGTGGCACCAGCAGCAGTAGCAGCAGCAGCAGTCGCGAGAGTGCAAGACACACACGGAATGGGTTCAGAGAATCTGAGCTCTTTTTTCCGACGACGGATACTCGCAAATAGCGGTGGCCATGCCTCGTGTTTGGGAGTTATACAGGGCCGGCGGACTGTTTCAAGTGGTGGGGGGTAGGGGTGGTGGGCTCCTGGGTTGCGGTGGAGGAGGGGGGTTGGGTGGATCGTGCGAGCGCTCGGCTGAGCCCAATGCGCTTGGGAGCAAGGGAAGAAGAAACGCGGTTCGTGCAGACGCCGCGAGCCGCCGGCCACAAAGCTCGGGGAGAATTAGCGCCTCATTGTCTTTTAAGGTTCGCTCTCCTTCTCGGGAGCGACTAGGGAGTAGAACGATACAAGGAAAGAATGACAACAACAAAAATCGTGCCGCACGACCGCTCGGGGGTTTGATCGCGCAAGAGGAGCGCACACACGCGGTCGCGCGCGCGCATCAGGATTCGAGGGCGCGTTGCGCGCGCACACACTCACATCGTGCTATGCCGGCCGTCTACCACAGCACGCGAGTTGCGTTATGTTTGCTATGTTTTGCCTGTTCGTGCAGTCGCTAACAGCCGGGCTGCTGAATCAATCGCGGGTCACTCGCGCCTAACCAACTTTACGACGAGAGAGAAACAAATGACGATGAATATCTGCCCATTTGTTCGAATTGTTGAGTTGAAATACAACCCGGAAACTTTGACACCCCCAGATTCAGATCGCCTTTTTCCAAGGACCTTTTCCGCCGGCGAGGGGCGGAGAGACGGGGGGACGGGGATGGGTGCAGGAGGAGGGGGGGGGGGGCTGCTATGAGTGCATTAGCAAAAGCGGTAACTTGAGAACGCACGGAAAGTCGCACTTAGCTCCCGCAGCCGAATATTCATAACAGAAAAGGCGCCTGGCTCAACAGGGACAATGCTTCATATTTTTTTTTTATCCTCCGTCTCTCTCTCTCTTGCCCTCTCGCACAATCCCCTCTGTCTCCTACGTCTCGCGGCCAGCACGGTAAACACACCTTCGAAAGATCACATTGGGAGCATGAATCACGTTGGCTCCGTCTAAGCAACGTCGCGACACCAAGTGAAACACGCCCGATGATTGTGGCCATAAATTTACAGGTTAACCGGAGTCGCATAAAGAAGGCAACTCACGTGCGCTTTGCGTCGCTGTCGCGAGCTTTTACAGCTTATGCGTGCCAATGGAGCGAGCTCTATTCACAAAACGCAGCAGCAGCAGCAACCCAACCACCACCAACAACAACAACAACAAACATCAACGGCTAGAAAACAAATATTAAACACTAATAACCAGCCACCTCGACGGAACCTCTCGGGATATTGATTCGGTTATTGCAAATGAATCGATGGCTGCGCATTGCACAACAACGGGTGCCGTACATCTCGTGCGGGGGGCGACCGCCGTCACGACGGCGGTAACTCTTGGCAAACAAAACACGTCACTTAATCGAGGCGATCATAACCAGCGCGCCCGTGCGGACGGCGCGACACAACCGGCACAGACGACGACGCAGCCGCAGCCGCCGCGCCGCACGGGGCTTGGGGTGGTGGCACGGGTCTGGGGGTCTGGGTCAGGTCGGGTCCCGATCCACGTGTCGGCAAGGAAGTCGGGAGCTAAGTCGGGTCGGGGTCTGAGCTGGTCGAGGGTCAGGTCGGATCGGGTCGGGTCGGGTCTGGTCGGTGGGGCAGTTCGACACTAATAGTGTCCGCGTGGTGCACAGCGACCAGGTCAATTACAGCGATCGTGTTCAATTACAACATAGCATGAAAGTCGCTTGCTGTTTACGTTGAAGAGAAGGGGCTCTTTCTCAATGAACGGCGGCGACTCCTGCCGCTGTTGTTATTGTTGTTATTTTTTTTTTGCTCCGGTGATTTTTGTTTCGCCTGGTTGTGTGTCACGCGTTAAGGGAAACCCTCTGCCGCGCGCGTTCTCCGCGCAGCCGTCGTGCTCTCCGCAACGGTGGAGGCGAAACAACGCTGGCGTGTGGCGGTGAGTGCGAGCGACGCATCGCGTCTCCTCTTCCACGAAAGAAAGCCTCGGTTCGGCTCAACGAAGTCGCGCTGGACTGCCGCGCGGCGCCCTTAAGCGGCGAGCGCTCTTCGCATTGTATCGCCCGTGGGGGGGGGGGGGGGGGGGGGGAGGGAGTCACGGGGACCCCGGCTATAGCGAGGAGGAACACGTGGGATCATCAACACGCGCGCGCGCACACACGGAGTGATCCATTCGTAGATATGCCACCGATGTCGTCCAAACACCGCCTTACTTTTTGCGCAACAGGTGATCGTGGCAGCGATGGCTTCGTATCTTGTTACGAAGGATAGTGTAAACATGTTTAGTAAGTCGTGTTGAAGATGGCTGGATACGGGGAGAAGGGTTTTTAACATAAAGTTGTTTTCTATGAAATGTCCCCCCCCACCCTATTATTTAGGAGGGTATATATAAAATGATCACTCGGCGTGTGTGTACATATATATGATTGTACCTAGCTATGAAGGGCCATTGGCCGAAACGTCGCCTGTTGTATAATTTTATTTTGTTGTTGTATGTATGCGTGCGTATATATGTAGCCTCATTGATTGTGAAATCCCTCATCCAGCAGTGGATTAACCAACCAGTCGCGTACACGAATTTTCCCCGAGCCCTAACGATCGGGGAGACTCGGCTTATTTTACAAACGCAATTGTTTGGATAACAGAACGTGTAACAAACGCTGTGTCGCGACGGCTATTTGTGTACAATTAATAGACTGTACTCTGTTTCAACACGATGTGATAAGAGTGTCTTCATTGCGTTTATGAATAGTATTATCGCATTGGAACTACTGGCATGTGAAATCAAAATCATTATAATATTCTTATTACTATCATTGCGTAACGTACTTCAGTATAACAGTAACAAACATCGAGTACAATAACCGATGGATGAAATCGTATAATCACGCAAGGTACGTGCGATATTTCAAGGACGGCCAGCCCCCGATTATCCGATGTCAAGGGACGATTCGGTTGATACAAATACACGGATAATGTCAACGCTCGCTTAAACGAGTCTATAAATCGTATTTACTGCTGAGCTATCTATCGCGGGAGGGGACGTAAGGGTGTAAACGTGTAGAGCGTGTAATCCGTTAATGTGTGTGGTGTTTTTTTTAATCGCTTATTAACGTTAATCGGTTTACTTCTTTTCGACGTTTGCTGCGGTTACGTGGTTGCCGAGTCACTGACCGTCGACGATTGAGGAGCACGCGGTCCGATTGTTGAACCGTGGAGAGAGATTATCAGTAAATCGGCAACGCAAGTATTCCGCTCGGGATCAATCGAGTGTTTCACGTGTGCCGTGTTACGAAAAACATTGCCTCTGTGCTGTCGTTCGATGCAATGAGGTGGTCTGTGTCCCCCCCCGCCTTCCCCGGCGTGGAATTTCATCTCGCCTAAGGTTAATAAATATGTACATCACGTGGGGACACGATACGTGTGTTTGCTTCATGTTTGTTGTTTGTATGCACTCGTGTATAAGCAGGTGTGTGCGCGCGTGTCTGTGCTTAACTGTCACACACCTGTGTTGTATACATATATGTGAGTCTGTGTGCGTGTGTGTATTGAGCAGTAGTGTAGCGGTTAGCACGCTGCGCTATGAACCCGGGATCCCGAGTTCGATTCCCGCTCATGGCCAACACCAGTGACGATTATCTGAACCGGTCCTGGGCCCACCCCTAGGTCGACTCGGCCTCAAATGAGTACCTGGTGGGCTGTGTAAAGACATCGCCACTGGGGAGACAAAGGTGGTCGGGCGTGGTGCTGGCCACCCACCCCCACGTGTACCACAGGTGCCCGTTCACAGCACTTGCCCCAACAGTCTGTTAAGGCTATATGAGGGATCTTTGTGTTGAGGTTACAATCAACTGTTGAGAATTATGACATTGGGAATTAGCCTACACAAGTTGACTTCTGACCCAGGCACCTGTGTAAGTGTATATATGTTTGCAAGTGCAAGATATTCACTGTGCCAATGATAATAACAGCTGTCAACATACGTGTAGCATGATGTCTATTGTTGGGTTTTCTAGAATGTAGTAGAATGTAGTGTATTTGTTTACATTGTCAAAATGCTGTGTTTTGACGGCTCGGCACAACAAAGATCCCCCGTACAGCCTTATCAGACTGTTGCAGCAAGTGCTGCTAGCGAGCACCTATGACGGCACACGAGGGGGTGGGTGGACCAAACACCACGCACGGCCGCCTTTCTCTCCCAAGCGGTGATGTTTACACATCGCACCAGGTACTCATTTGAGTATGAGTCGACCTAGGGGAGGCCAGGTTCGTAGCGCATCGAGCTAACCGCTACACCGCCGCTCCCCCCCCACAATGCACACACACTGACACCCTCGCATCTATTCAAACATACACACACTGCACGTTGCTCGATCCAAAGTGGTTTGTTTGTTTACAAGAATACCGACCAATGATCTCGTTTGCACAACAGCATTCTCGTCTCAATCGAAGCTCTCGCTTATATTTGCGCGCACATATTTGTTCTGTTCAAATTAAATAATCGACGAAGTCGTTTCTGTCACCGCTCCAAAACGCCTTTGTGACGCCGATGCTTACACGGATCGTGACGCGACACAGAATCCGTGTCGCTGTTATTGTGACGCATCAAAGGGGTGATTCATATTGCCCCCCCCCCCCCGCTGTATGCCATTTAAACGCGTGTCTGCACGCGGGCGCGTCGCGTCACGAGCGGGTCTGTTGATCTGCTGTTGGTAAAGAAACGTTGGTTCCCAAGGTCCATAGGTTGATGGACATAAACCAATAGCTATATATATATCTTTGTTCACTTTGTGAGAAAGAATTGCCGTTGCCTGTTCATTTATATCGACATTGCAACATTGTCATCAGCCGTGATTGATGCACTGCTGGATGAAGGCCTCTCCAACGTTGATGTAATGACGATTAAATTGAGTTAAATATCCGATGTAATGCCAAATTACATCGAAATAATTTTAGCTACATATGCGTATATATCATGATATGTAACAAAAAAACAGTTGCGTTAATAATATTAAACATCCGCACTGTGTATACGCTGCATCATGTAGACTGTGCGTGTGGTGATTAACATTGTTATTGTTGTTGTGTGTGGATGCACAGACTAAT